AACATATTGAAGCCCTGTCAAAAACTGTGATGGGTCTTTAAAGAGGCTGTTAAAGTGGGTCCTTTTCCAATCTGACTGGGTCTTAGAAATTAAATTTGGACACAGGGAACACAGGCAGAGATTATGTGAGGACACGGCAAGGAGGTGACTCTTTGCAAGAGAGACGAGGCCTCAGAAGAAAGCAGACCCGTGGACACCTTGACCTTACTTAGCCTTCCAGCCTGCGGACGGTGAGGAAGTTGTTGGGGGCCGCCTGGTCTGTGTGGTATGTTGCCATGGAAACCCTGGCAAACTAACACTAGTGTTCAAGACTTTAGGTCACTGGCATGACTTATTTGGACAAAGGATCTGGGAGTCAGTGGCGTTTAAATTCCTGTCCCAGCTGCTGCGTACGCTTAGAGCTGCTCCAAGTGCGTATTCATGAGCAAGGCGCCTGGATCCTGAGGCCCCGATAGCTGGGGGCTGCTTCCCTGGAACGGAGACGGAGGGGTGCTTCCCGGAGTAAAACGGACACGCAGGGACACGGGCACGTCTGCTAAACTCATTCAGTATTTATTGAACTGTCAATGTTGCAAACACGGCTGAAACCGGACCCCCTCTTGGCTCCTCCTTGGGAAAGAAACCTGGAGCTGGACCAGCCCAAACACCAGAGGGGGGACAGGAAGACATCGGGGTGTAGGCAGGGGGACGGCGAAAGGGGGGTACAGGGCCAGTGTGCAAGGCCAGATTCCGGGGAAAGACACACACGCACAGACCAGGGCGCTGTCTGCCCGGCAGCCGCAGAACATCAGGAAAAGACCGGCGTCTGGAGACATTTCAGTCCATCCCATCATGAAGCGTCTGCCGAGAGGCTGGGCCAAGGCCACGGGCTGTGAGAGAGAAGGGGGGGGAGGTCAGCTTGCAGGGAAGAGCGATGACAGGGAGACGGAGATGCAAGCGCAGGAGAAAATCAGGCACGAGGAGGGTGGCCGACCGTGCGGGAACATTCTAAGCCAAAGGCAAGATGGGCCCAGACCTCCTGCTCATTGGAGTTTCCTGAGAAACCCTCCGAGGCAAGCAGAGGTCCCGCTGTGGACGGTCCCGTGGGTGGCCCCCAGCGGACTTACAGAAAGCCTGACTCACTCCTCCCACCCCTTTAAGTCAGTTCCAGAGAGAAAACAGCACAACTGAAATGGTTTGACCCCGCCCCGCAACCAGCCCACAGCGGTCAGACCTCTTCACCAGCCACCACCTGACTAGGTAGGGCGCACTGGAGTCTCCCGGAATGCCCTGCCTGGTGTTGGTTTACCTGGCGCCCGGGGCCACACCAGCTCAGCTGTGCTAACAATGGGATTGGTGGTGGGGCCCTGACCTGGGGCGGGGAGGAAGCGGGGGAATAAAGGCCAACCAGGCGGCACTCCGCTATGTCTGCATGACGGGCCCCCAAGGACCAGGTGACCTCCCGGGTTGCAGTGCTGCGTGCCTGTGGCCACACGCCTCTGCTGGGAGGACTCGGTGTCGTCCGCCTGACCTCACTGGAGGCTCACGCCTGGTCTCTCCTGGACCGGCCCTCCGCACCTCTTCCCTGGGCTGACAGCCTCTACCCGTCCCCGGTAATGAACCAAAACCGGGGTAGATCAGCTTCGCCGAGTTCTGAGTCCTTCTAGCAAATTGCCACACCTGAGGCTGGTCTGGGGACCCCCTGCACTCAGAAAACACGCAAACGAGAATTATTCTTTCCCTCTCTCCTTCCTTTACGTCAATCCTGCCGCTGCTTCTGGGGCTGAAATCACCCCTGACGGACCTCTCTGGGACCAGAGGGGACCGCGGGCTGACACAGCCAACAGCTTTGACTTCCTCACAGTTTGGAAGCGACAAATGGTGTGATTACACAATGGGAGGGGCTCCATTCGACACCCCCCACACACACACACTCCTGCTCTCCTGAAGGCAACAGCCCCCACCTCCTCAGCTCCTGCAGCTGTGAAATGACATGGCTCTTGGTCGTCGTTTCCAATCAGGGGAGGCTCCCTTCATTTCAGACCCACACAGGGCATGACCTTTGCACTTTGGCATCGCGCTAACTGAAATGTCCACATCCCCCTTCACTTTGGGGCCCTCACTCTGCCCTGGCAGAGCTCTCTATCAGGACTCGAGCTGAAGGCCTGGGCACCAGTTTTGTGATGAAAGCACCTGGCACAGGTACCTGAGCCCACAGTGCACGGGGGTGGGGCCTCAGTGCTAGACACCAGGTGGGGGAGGGTGGCAAAAATGCCTCTAGGCCAGCGGTTCTCAACCTGTGGGTTGCAACCCCTTTGGCAGCCGAACGACCCTTTCACAGGGGTCGCCTAAGACCATCCTGCATATCAGATATTTACATGACGATTCATAACAGTAGCAACATGACAGTGATGAAGTAGCAACGGAAATAATTTTATGGTTGGGTCACCACATGAGGAACTGTATTTAAAGGGCCAGAAGGTTGAGAACCACTGCTCTAGGCTCTCCCAGGTTCCGGATGGGGCCCTGTCCTAGAAGAGGTGGGGTTCGGGGCTTGTCCGGAACCTGTTGGCTTGGAAATTGGAAATCAGGCTCAGAAGGTGCCGAAAGGCAGGGGTACGGCCCCGAGAACAGCGTGCCAGTGGCCGCTGGCCCGGGAGCGCACTGGGCAGGAGGCTGCATGGGTTGGGAGCACATTAGGAACCAGGGGTCCCCTCTAGGGCCTAGGAGCGGGGCCCCTCACCTCCGCCTTCAGGGCACTCCGGCCTGAGCCAAGACGGCTTTGATGGCGGCCACCAGCTTCAGAAACTTGCTCTCTGTGTCCACGAAGCCATCGCCTCCCTGGGGTGGAAGGAAGAGGAAAGGGGTGAGCTGGGACGAGGACGCCAAGCCCACCCCCATCCACCACCACCCCCCAACACCAGCCCCAAAATGAGGCAGGATGGACAGACAGACATACCTTCTTAGAGTGAACCAACTTCCCTGCTACCATGACTTCAAAGAACCCGGTAACCTGGGGAGTCCCCTCGCCGCACTGGGGAGAGAGATGTTGGAGGGGCTGAGACGCCCTCTTGGGGACACCGACCCTGCCCAGGGGTGAGGAACAGGGTGAAGGGTGGGCTGCCCCTACACCCCACTGCCACCAGGGCTGAGGGACAGGCAGTGTAACCCATGTGTGAGTCCCCCCTCTGCCCCCAAGACTCACGATGTCCAGGCGTCCGGGGAACTCATCTTCTAACTTCTTCTTGAGTTGAAGATACTGCAGGGGTGGGGTCACAATAGGGGTCAACGGGGGCCACCCCAGCCAGCCCTCCTCCTCCCTGTCTTCCCAGCCACTAGCTTACCTTGGGCTTGTAGCCTCAGGCACCACTGGCGGGAGAGAGTCCGGGAGAGAGGGAGAAGGTGGGGGAGAAGGAGTCAGAATACAGGGAGAGACAGGGGTTTGTGGGGAGATGGAGGGAAACAGGAGGGGGCAGGAAGAAATGAAGCAGGGGACACAGATGATATAACCAAGGGGACAGGCACCCACAAGAGAGAGGAAAGACACACACAGAGGGTTGGGGAGCGGCACAGAGATGGGGAGGCAGGGACACGGGAAGGAAGGACACACCCACACAAAGGAAACCCACAGAGCCAGGGCGACAGGAGACAGAGAGAGAGGCGCACAGGAAAAAAGGGGGAGGGGGTGGAGGGGGGACCGACACGGAGACCACGAGCATGAGCAGGAGGGGAAGGGCGGGAGGGAACAGGAGAGAACTGGGTTAGGATGAGAACTGCAGAAACAACACCCCCCCACACTCCCACCCCACCCCACGAGCCCAGCCCACACACCACCCCGCCAGACACCCTCCCCCGCTCCCCAGGCCCTTCCAGCTCTGAGGTGAAACCTAAGCCTCCGCAGGCTATTTCAGGACCAGGCCTGGACACTCCACCTGTGCTCTGCCCAGGGCATTTCTAACACTGAGATCTGATCGTCAAAACCCCGGCTTCCAGGGCCGCGTGGTCAGTGGTCAGACCAGCGGTTCTCAACCTCGGCTGCACATGAGAATCACCTGGGAATCTTTTCAAAATCCTGATTTCTGGGCCTCATCCTCCGGAAATGCTGTTTCTTTGTTACTAATGTTGTGGCCCCACCCCATCACAAAGAAACAGAATTTCTGGATGGTGAGGCCCAGAAATCAGGATTTTAAAAGGATTCCCAGGTGATTCTCATGTGCAGCCAAGGTTGAGAACCACTGGGTTAGAGCATCAGCCCGTGCAGAAGGGTCATGGGTGCGGCTCCCTGTCAGGGCCATGCCCGGTCAAGGGCACGCACCTGGGTTGCAGGTTTGGTCCCTAGCCCAGGGCAGGGCAACCAATCCATGTGTCTCACATCAATATTCCTCCCTCCCCCCACCCCAACCCTCCTTCCCTTCCACGCTCTAAAAATCAATGGGAAAATATCCTGGACTGATTGATTTTAGAGAGAGAAGAAGGGAGAGAGAGAGAAAGATCAATGGAAAAAATATCCTTGGGTGATTACACACACACACACACACACACACACACACACACGGCTGTCCTGGCAGGCAGTGCTCGGACAGGCCGGCCAGCGGACCCAGATCGGTTTTCCTGTGACCTGCAGTCTGGACCTCAAGTTGCTGACCTGCAGGACCCACTCGCACCTCAGTTTCCCTTCCTGTAAAATGGAGCTAAAGTCCCCCACCCTCAAGAGGTTTCTGGATGGGGAAATTCATAGATGATGCATTTATTCGGTGCCAAGGGGCGGGTGCCTGTGGGTGCCAGGTGCCTGTGGGAGCCTGTGGGTGCCAGGAGCCTGTGGGTGCCAGGAGCCTGTGGGTGCCTGTGGGTGCCAGGTGCCAGAAGTGCCAGGGGCCAGCGGAGAGAGCAGTCACCGCCAGGGGCTGCCCACTGCAGCGGGAAACTGGACAGACAGACCCCCACACGCGGCTCCATCCCTGGGGCCCAGTACGATCAGCTCTCTCCCTCTACGGGCGGGGAAACTGAGGCCAGAAAAGGTCCATCCACCGCATTCATTCCTTTCCAAACCTGCGCGGAACCTTCTCGAACCTTCTCAACCCTCAGCCCCCAGCCCCCCAAGGCTGTTCCTGGTGCTGGGGGAGGGGACACCTGAGCTCGGACGGAGGAGGGGGGGGCGCTCCCCTTACCGAGCTGGCTCCACCGCCCCCCAAACTGACTCCCGAGCCCGAGGTTCCCAATGGCCACACGGCGTCTCGGGGCAGCCTTTGCAGCCCGAGCT